GCAATACAGCCTCGGCAATAACGCTGGAAATGGGTGACCCCATGGAAGTACCCTTTATTTAGTAATAGTAATAGTAGTAAAGTTGGAAGGGACCTTGGAGGTCATCTAGTCCAACCCCCTGCTCGGGCAGGAAACCCTACACCATTTCGGACAAATGGCTGTCCAGTCTCTTCTTAAAAACTTCCAGTGTTGGAGCATTTACTGCTTCTGGAGGCAGCTGTTCCACTGATTAATTGTCTCACTGTCAGGAAGTTTCTCCTTAGTTCTAGGTTGCTTCTCTCCTTGATTAGTTTCCACCCGTTGCTTCTTGTCCTGCCTTCAGGGCTTTGGAAAATAGCTTACTTCCCTCTTCTTTATGGCAGCCCCTGAGATATTGGAATACTGCTATCATGTCCCCCCTTGTCCTTCTCTTCGTTAAACTAGACATACCCAATTCTCGCAACCGTTCCTTATATGTTTTAGCCTCCAGTCCCCTAATCATCTTTTTGCTCTTCTCTGTACTCTTTCTAGAGTCTCAACATCTTTTTTACATCGTGGTGACCAAAACTGGATGCAGTATTCCAAGTGTGGCCTTACCAAGGCATTGAAGAGTGGTATTAATACTTCACGTGATCTTGATTCTATCCCTCTGTTAATGCAGCCTAGCACTGTGTTGGCCTTTTTGGCAGCTGCAGCACATAGGTGTTACCCTGAAACGTGAAGTAGGTCTTGAGGCATAAACCCAAAAGGTCCACAAGATCTTCCGGGCGAAGGGAATCCTGGTGTTGTCCTAAGCCCCTGTGACTCAAAAGATCTTTAACGGTCGCAAGGGCTAGGTCCTGTGGGATAGAGGTGAAGAGGGAGACGACATCAAAAGATACCATCACCTCGTCATCCTCTATCCTTAAGGACCTAATCCTGTCCAGGAATTCCTCTGCCGATCTTACCACCGTCTGGCTATCAGCGACCAAGTGGCCGATACGAAGACTCAGCCACTTAGCCAAACCAGACATGGGGGTACCCCTAAAAGATACTATGGGGCGGAGGGGAACCCCTTCCTTATGCACTTTGGGTAGCCCATAGAATCTAGCTGCCGCCGTGTCGCTAGGGCGTATCCTCAAAAGGGTTACGTCGTCTAATCTTCTACCTCGTTTCAGGGCGTTGAGCGTCTTATTGACTCGATTTTTAAGGGTCACCATGGGGTCCCCACTCACAATCCTGTAGGCCGTAGTGTCCTCAAGCAACCCTGACGCCTTACTGATGTAATGTGCTCTATCCATGACAACCGTAGCTCTCCCCTTGTCAGCTGGCAATATGAGGGTTGCATCATCCTTCAGCTAAGGCTGAAGAAAGGAAATACCTGTTCCACACCTGTAGACGTAATGGATACCCCAATAAATTTATCAGGCGCCACAGTGCTCTATCCAGACCTCCCATAACCCACCTATTGGGGAGCTACTTCCACAGACTACACGTATTACTCTCCCCTATGTCAGTAATGTTTCTGAAGCCACGGCTAGGCTATTGTCACCCTATGGAATAAGGGTGGCACATAGACCAGACTGCACATTGCGTTCCTGTATCATGAGGTTGAAAGATCCACTCCCCGTTACTGAGAAATCTGGGGTGATCTATAGAATCCATTGTATAGATTGCCCAGGTAATTACGTGGGAGAAACCTCTAAAAGAGTAAGGACAAGAATACAGGAACACAAGCTGGCAATAAAAAGAGGGGAGCACTATTCACAAATCCTCACTCACATGGTAGAGCTTGGACACAAGTTTGATTTCAATGGGGTGCAGGTTATTGCTAGTGATGCCTCCAAGAGCGGCAGACTCCTCAAAGAGGCTTGGTTCTCAGACTGTAACTCTATTAATCGATGTGTGGAGTTACATCCTGCACACCAGGTCATGAAAACTTGGGAGGCACGCATTTGTTCCAGACGGAGGAAGCACCCCACTGTTTGCAATCTCAATTGTTCCAACGAAGAGATAGACAACGAGGTAAGGACGATCCTACCATCCGGAGTGCCCCCGGCTATTAGCAATTCCTGCGCGCACCCACTGATGAATGAAGAATTCGTTGACAACAGCAACCCACCCCCTAGTGCCCTGGATGCCCCGAACACTCCTTCCCTTCCCCCTCCCTCTCCTCGATATTGCGTCCGACCTACAGACTGCAACCGCCCCATTAAGGGTCCCATCACGCGTTCCCAAGTAGTACGGTGGAAACGTGAGGGCGCACGCGCGAAGATCGCAGTTGGAATTTCCTCCGAAGGGAGAGTTGAATCGGACGCCAAACTAACAGGAATGGAGATCGCAACGAACTGCTGTGCATCCCATGCACGGAAGGGCAGTGGGTTGGGGGCTATAGGGGAAGATGGGAGCACGCATGGGGTAGCATGCCCCCTGAGAGTGACACATCAGACACGGGGGAGGAAGATAGCCAGATCTGGGATTTCTTCGCAGGATCGGTCTGCAGTTACCCATGTTACTCTAGTGCGTAGTGACATGGAATGCTCGCCTCCCAGCCTAGGAGCCGCACGCAACAGAGAAGTAATCAGCTGCAAGAACTTAGAACTCAGAAATACTTCTGACATGAGTGATGAAAGGATCAATCGACCGGGCCCCATAACGAGGTCTATGAGCCGTGTGCAGGCGCGTTTGTGCTTATAAACGAGCTCCCCCACCCTCTGGCTTTTAACACCCTGACGATGATGGCAGCAATATAGCCATTGAAAGCTAGGTTATTTATTTATTAAACATTTAATTGTTTTACCTCCTGGTGCTCGTTTTTATCTTTTGAATATGTATACACCCAGGAGACTACGTTCCTCAATTGTTATGTTAATTTTTAATATATATATATATATATATATATATATATATATATATATATATATATAGATATATATATATATATGTTTTCTGAGGTTTTCGCGGGTATTTGTATATAGGTCTTTGGTTGTTCGGGTTTTCTCCCGCGTAAAATTGGAAGTGTCTTGGCGACGTTTCGACGAAGTCCCATTCGTCATCTTCAGGCTGGTGTTTTCAGCTTCGTGCTATATACTTTCCTTGAATTCAGTCACGTTTAAGTATCTAAAACATTTCATCCCTCTTAGAATGGTGTGTTTCAAATTTTTTCTATTTCTTTAACCGTATTCAAACACATGTTTCTTTTTTAAGTATTCTATCTGATATGTCCCATCATCTTTTTTCTTAATCTCTTTTCTTTGCCCAGAATCTTTCTTGATCAATATACGTTGCTGGATCCAAATGTTTTCCCATACGATCGTAGGTGTTCCTTCCAATTTGTTTTGTGATGTTGAAGTGTAAGTTATCTTTCCTTCCACTTGAATTAAATCATACTCTTCTATTTTGTAAAAGTCTGTCTTTAAGTCTTTTCCTTCTGATTTATATTCAATCATCTCTGCTATATTCTCCTGAGTATTTTTTTGAAGAGAACTTAAATTGGAGATAAGTTGACTTATACTTTCAAGGTTGTTTTGTATTTCTTTGTGATTTAAAATCATTGTCCTTTGAATGGATTGCAGTGTATCTTGTAAAGTATCCATTGTTTCTGTAAATATCAGTTTCTCTGAGCAGCTGTGTTTACTAAGATTTTAAAAGCCACAGACAAAAATTTTATAGCTCCTCATCCACCAGTAGGTGTCAATGCTGGATCATTTTTCAATTTTCTAGTCTTTTTTTTCTCCTTAAAGAGTTAGATTCGCGGCTTCCAATAGCTAAAAAGGGGGGGGAGAATCCCTCCCTTTTTTCACTCTCGGAGGTATTTTTGCTTCTTGGGAGTTCTTTTTTTTCAGGAAAATAAGTAGGATAGAGAAAATTAGTTCTTACCCAGCTTCAAACACACTGTTTACAATCAGTTTAGGTAGAGCTTGTTGACTTCCGATTGCTTGCAGCTAGGGCTAGACAATGGAGTTAGCTAGCCTTTCTTCTGTTGGTTTCTGGGAGGCTTCTCCTGGACCGATCGGAGAGACCGCCGTCTCTCCTAGGTCCCTGGAAGTATCTTCCTTCATTGCCACCTCTCCGGGGCGGCTTCTGGCCCATTTAGGGTTCCCAAACAAGAAGAAACTCAGCTGAAGAGCTCGGCATCCCGAGTCGCTCAGCCGATGACGCTGCTGGCCGGAACAGGAAGCCTCTCAGATTGAGATTTCATTGAGCAGACCATTGTTTGGGCTAAGGCTCTTCTTCCTGTCTCCCAGGGTCAATCCCATATGCAATTACAACCTCTCTTAATATTTTTATTGCAGTGCAGAGTGTGAGCATGTAAGTGGATAAAGCAGGTGGTTGGCAAAAATGTTGTCAACACTGCTAACATCGGATGTTCTTGCTTTGACAACAGATGGAAATGCAGCCATTTTTCTCTATTGCTTCTAGAGTTAGTTGATGCTGGAAGGGGGAATGTGGATGAGAGTCCAGCTAGTCATAACAATAATAACTCAGCCGTGGAAATCCAAGGTCATTGGACCCAGAGTTGATAGAGTTTTGGTGGGCTGGAGAGCTGGGGAGAAAGCCTGCACTTCAAGCTAATTTGGGAATGTGATTTATGACTGTTTATTGGAGGAAGGAATTATGTTTTGATACTTTGTATCCAGGGGAGGGGAATTTAGTTTTTGGTTTCGACTATGTAGTGCCGATACTTTGTTTTTCGAATAAAAGATTCTTTAAGGTAAACAATGCCTCGAAGTTCTTTTGAAGAGTTTCATCTGTCGAAACCATGACATTTGTCAGTCTCCAGTATTACCTTCTGCCCATATAGAAAGAATTGGAGCTACTGATAAGACTATTTTACTTGGCTTCACTGAAAGGCATTAAAAGTCCTGCAGTAAATCTGATAAAATGTTGTGCCATCTGCCAAAAGGCGTGAGATCTTATTTAGAATTCTGCAGCCATTGCTCATTCCATTCATTGCTCATTCCATCAGTCATTGATGGAAGAGAAGTCTCAAATTCTTCTTGCGGTTGTTTGTTAATGAGGAAATTTGTTTCCTTGTTTAGGATCTTGTGACTTTTGAGGAAGTAGCTGTGTATTTTTCTGAGGAAGAGTGGTCTCAGCTGGATCCTGACCAAAAAGCTCTTCATGGGGAGGTCATGCTGGAGAATTCTAGGAATCTGGCTTCCCTAGGTAAGAACCTCTATCTGTGGTTTTATCTCTAATTTGTCGCAGCCAACAACAAGAGTTACACTAATATTAAAGAAATGGTGGAATAGAATTATTTTTAAAAAATCACTAAGGTGGGACCGAATCAAATGTGAATGACAAAAATTGAGACAATGTGAAAAAAACAATGAGTTATCACTGTTTCATTCTGCACTGAATTGTCCCGCAGCGAGTTGGCCCATGATGAATTGGCCCATTCCCGAGAGGAATGGCTAGGAAGTGACCAAGAATAACAGAATAACAGAGTTGGAAGGGACCTTGGAGGTCTTATAGTCCAACCTCTTGCTCAAGCAAGAAACCCTATACCATTTGAGACAAGTGGCTGTCCAGTCTCTTTTTAAAAGCCTACAGTGACTGAAAACCCGCAACTTCTAAAGACAAGCTGTCAATTGTTTTCACTACTAGGAAAGTTTTCCTTAGTTTAGATTGCTTCAATCCTTGATTATTTTCATCCATTATTTTGAAAAATAAGTTGAGAGTAGAGTAGAGTCAGCGGTTCAAATCTCACCGGCTCAAGGTTGACTCAGCCTTCCATCCTTCCGGGGTAGGTAAAATGAGGACCCAGATTGTTGGGGGCAATGTAAATATATATATACATTGCTTACTGGTGTACACCGCTTAGAGAGTGCTTGCACTTAAAGCGGTATATAAGTCTCATAAATAAATAGAATAGAATAGAATAGAATAGAATAGAATAGAGTAGAATAGAATAGAATAACAGAGATGAAAAGGATCTTGGGAGATCTTCTAGTCCAACCCCCTGCTCAGGCAGGAAACTCTATGTTCTATTGTTTCTGTTTGCATTATAATGAATTCCAATATGACATGGTCACTCTCCCCCAAAGCTCCAGCAACTTAACCCCCCTCTATCACTTCTTTGTTAGTAAAAAAAAGTGCTTAATAATCTTTAACTCAGTAAACTAAATAACCAAGTAAAAGTACCGTATTTTCTGGCGTACAAGACGACTTTCTGAAGCATGCAAATCGGCTCCGAAGTCAGGGGTCGTCTTATACGCCGAGTCATCTTATACACCGGAAATTACGGTAATTTCCGGCATATAAGACGACTTTCTAAGCATGCAAATCGGCTCCAAAGTTGGGGGTCGTCTTATACGCCGAGTCGTCTTATACGCCAGAAATTACGGTAATTTCTGGCATATATGACGACTTTCTAAGCATGCAAATCGGCTCCGAAGTCGCGGGTCGTCTTATACGCCAAGTCGTCTTATATTCCGGAAAATACAGTACTTACTTCTTCTCTATTAGTAAGGAAAAGATGAACAGGAAATGAGATGTGATTGCCATTGTCCTACACTCCAGTTTTTCCACTGGAGATCTCAGAGTCCAATATATCTCTATTCCCTTCCCCAGTTTCTGGTTTTCAGCATGGGATAGAAGAGCTCCAGTAGATTTGCTTAGCTTTCTTACGCAGCAACCATTTGCAGTTACAACAGAAATAAAAAATAATAAAAAGTAGCTTTGCAACCCAGGCATGGATTTACAAATTTTGCATTGTCCCTTAGCCAGGTTTGCCAGTTAGTATAAGTTATCCTGTCCCTGACATTTTTTCTGTCACACAGATCTTAAACAAGCAATGTCATTCTGAGCTGCTTTTCTTAGCACCATAAGTGTCCCTACAAATTTGATTTGATGTGGATATATGAATTTGGTAGTAGCCCACTTGGAACTGCATCTTTACTAGAAGCTTAAATCAAGTTCTTTGATATTAGCCAGAAAATCAGCCAAGTTATTTTGATGATACTTTGGCAAAATTTCAGGGGGGAAAATGATCTTTAAACACGCTCCTAATCTTGCTACAATTTCTCATGTTTCTTTTTTAAAGAAAAGAATGTCCAAGAGGGTAAGAATTGCAAGGAACAACAACAAACAATCCACCCAAAAGAGGAAAAAAGGAAGTTTGCCAATCAGCTGGAACCAAAAAGTGATGAGAGAAACGGATCACAAAGTGGAATTAAGAAAAGCTTTTTATGGATCACTCGGCCTACTTATCATAGAAAGATGCCTACAGGAGACAGACCTTATAAATGCCTGGAGTGTGGGAAGAACTTTTCTAAATCCAGTCACCTCATTCGCCATAAAATGACCCATTCAAAAGAGAAACCATATATCTGTAGCGAGTGTGGAAAGGCCTTCCGTGATAATTGTTCTCTCAGAAGCCACCAGAGGAATCACAGTGGAGAAAGGCCCTATAAATGCATGGAGTGTGGGAAGACTTTTACTCAAAGTGGTGCTCTTGCTACCCATAAAAGAATCCACACGGGGGAGAAGCCATATAAATGTATGGTGTGTGGGAAGGGCTTTACTCAGGGCAGTCACCTTACTTCTCATAAGTTTATCCACACAGGGGAGAAGCCATATAAATGCATGGTGTGTGGGAAAAGCTTTACTCAGGGCAGTCGTCTTACTTCTCATAAGTTCGTCCACACAGGGGAGAAACCGTACAAATGCATGGAGTGTGGGAAGACTTTTACTCAAAACAGTAACCTTACTTCCCATAAAAGAATCCACGCAGGGGGCAAGCCATATAAATGCAGAGAAGGTGGAATGGGCTTCTGTGAAAATGCATCCCTTATGGAACATGAAAGGATCCACCTGGAGGAGAAACCATATAAGTGCACGGACTGTGGAAAGGGTTTTTCACTATCTGATCACCTCATTTCCCACGAAATGACCCATTCAGAAGAGAAACCGCATGCCTGCTTGGATTGTGGAAAGATTTTCCCTGATAATTATTCTCTTAGAAGCCATCAAAGGAATCATGGGGGAGAAAGACCCTATAAATGTATGGACTGCGGAAAGACCTTCGCTTGGAGCAGTAATCTCTCTTACCATAAAAGAACCCACACAGGGCAGAAGCCTTATAAATGTGTAGAATGTGGGAAGGGTTTTAGTACTAACAGTTATCTTACTGCCCATAAACGGATCCACACAGGGGAGAAGCCGTATCAATGTATGGACTGTGGAAAGAGCTTTAGAAGGAGTAGCCTTCTTACTTACCATAAAAAGATCCACACAGGAGAGTAGCCATATCAGTCCAAGGAGTGAGGGAAGAGCTTTAAGAGGAATAGTAATCGAAAATCTCATGAAAGAGTCCACTTTGGCAATGCTGCATATAAACATTATACATATACAAATATGTGAGAATATTTTGCCTTTCCAGTCCAGAGTAGATTGGAAGATGAATCTTCATTCCTGATTGTAATTTTTACTCAGTAGAAGGTTCCCAGGCAAGAAATAAGTAGAGCTAAAGAGTATTTATGGTGTCTTCATGGTGTCTAGCACAATACTTTAAAAAATGTAGATTTCTAGGAATTTCCTCTGATGAATATATCCACTGGAGTAGTGGATTGCAGGCAGATAATCAACCCTTAATCACTTATTATGATTGCACTATTTCTTCATTTGCTTAATATTGTTACAATCTGCCTTTCCATCCTTCTCATTATGTAATGCAAAGTAATATCTGAGAAAGAAAACCATAAGGAGCATAGGGTTAGAAAATACAACCTGAATTTCAACATACAGCTCATTGGCTATGTTTCCTAATTTTGTGGCGATTTTTGTTTTCTTCCCTTTGTTTTTAATTGCAAAGTTAAATAGCAAAAGAGTTTGTGTGTCCTAGTATCAAAAAAACCATTCCAGAAATATATGGGAGACATCTCTCAATCCACAAAGGAGTTACTGTCTCTTGCATGTGAAAATAACAAAGCCAGATTTGTTTTCTACTATGGGAAATCAGGACATGGGATGAGTAATAGGAATGAGAAAGCATTATTCAGTCAAAAATGTCTTTATGGCACTGAATCCTCATTATAAACTCATATAAATGTGCATTACACGGAAACAGATTCAGAGGGAGACTTTCATTATCAAATGAGCCACAGTGGTGAGAAAGCCTATAAATGCACATGCAAAGGCTTTTTCTATGAAGGTGCTAAAATCTGCTTTGGTGCGGAATGACAAGACTGGCAAAAGCTAAAATGAAACGTTTGCAAGAAAAGTAAGCAAGCTCAGCGAGCACCAAGGACACTTCATTTCAGTCCTGAATTACAAATATTCTCCATTGCTAAAATTGATTGTGTCACATTTAGCTTTAAAATTAGATTAAATTAAATGTAGTTGGTATGGGGTTTTTCCCTGTCATATGGTTAATGATTTTGGGCACCTTGAAAATGACAATCGTGGGATTATTATTTTGGTCCATACTTGAGGGTTTTAGAGTTTCATGTCCGGTTGAAATCGTTTACTCAAAGGCAGCTGAGCAGTAGTTAATAATAATAATAAAGTTGGAAGGGACCTTGGAGGTCATCAAGTCCAACCCCCTGCTCAGGCAGGTACCCCCTGCTTAATGATGGCAAACCTTTTAGAGACAGTGCCCAAAAACCGCCCCTGCGTCCCTGCCCGCCCCACTCTGCGCCCCGCCCGCTCCGCCCCCGCTCCCCCGCAAGGCCACTCACCGCCTCCACGGCCCACTGCAGTAGATCACTCAGGTGGCCCAGCAGCGCTATGGCAGCCATGCCCTCCTCCCGTGCCCCGTAGCAGCATCTGTGTGCGAAGGGGCGTGACATCGGAGTCTTGTCCCTGCTGCCTGGCTGTCATGTGCTTGGCTGTGTTGCTCCATGCGGTCCGCGCCCGGGAGCGATTCTCCTCCAAGGGGGCTGCTGTTGAGAAGGGGGCCCGGGGGGAGGCGGGGCTGGGCAAGTGCACGTGCCCACAGAGAGGGCTTTGAGTGCCATAGGTTCGCCACCACTGCCCTGTACCATTTCGGACAAATGGCTGTCCAGTCTCTTCTTAAAAACTTCCAGTGTTGGAGCATTCACCGCTTCTGAAGGCAGGTTATTCCACTGGTTAATTGTTCTAACTGTCAGGACGTTCTAGGTTGCTTCTCTCCTTGATTAGTTTCCATCTGTGTTGTGTTCCTAGTGTTGTGGAAATATCCACCCCATCTGTTTCTAGCCATTTCCATATATGGAGCAGTTAAATCAAGTAGCTTTATTAAGAGAAAGTTCTTGTAGGGAAGATGGATCTCTAAGCAAGCATCCAAGAGGAACCTAGATGTGTCATAAATAGATGTGATAATATAATACATGTGGAAAATCCTGACAAAAATGAGAATAGACATGAAAGACTATGCTGGTATTGTTATCCAGCCTTATTGATTATGTCATTATGTCACAATAATCATTGATTATTGTGTCATCAAGTTGGCTCAATTCTGCAACCACACAAATACATTTTCTGACAGGAGAAGTATATCAAATCTTTGCAACCACAGAAGATACATGTTATGATGGAGGACTTGGTCCTTCAGTTGTGCACTCAGCACGTTAACTGGGTTAATCCATCTTGCTGCTGGTTGTCCTCTTTCCATTTTTTCATTGATAATAATTTTTATTGCAGTTTCAATAAGGGTAAAAGCCAATACAAGCTAAGAAAAATATGAAAAAGTGTATAGGTGGCGCAGCAGTTAGAGTGCAGTACTGCAGGCCACTTTAGCTGACTGTTCAGCAGGTCAGCGGTTCAAATGTCACCGGCTCAAGGTTGACTCAGCCTTCCATCCTTCCGAGGTAGGTAAAATGAGAACCCAGATTGTTGGGGGCAATGTAATATATATATATATATATATATATATATATATATATATATATATATATATATATATATATATATATTTTCTGAGGTTTTCGCGGGTGTTTGTATGTAGGTCTTTGGTTGTTCGGGTTTTCTCCCGCGTAAAATTGGAAGTGTCTTGGCGACGTTTCGACGAAGTCACATTCGTCATCTTCAGGCTGGTTTTTTAGCTTATTGCTGCTCAAAGCAAGAAGCTAAAAACACCAGCCTGAAGATGACGAATGTGACTTCGTCGAAACGTTGCCAAGACACTTCCAATTTTACGCGGGAGAAAACCCGAACAACCAAAGACCTATATATATATATATATATATATATATATATATATAATATATATATATATACATTGCTTACTGGTGTACACCGCTTAGAGAGTGCTTGCACTTAAAGCGGTATATAAATCTCATAAATAAATAAATATAGAATAAATAAAGGGAGGAAGGAGAAAATGGGAAAAAAAACGGAAAAGATTCAAAAGGAAACAATTTTTCCATTCATCAAGATAAGTAGAAATATTTTTAAAAACTTAACATCTAATGTTTCAGCAAAAAACTCTTCACCCCATATTTCACCTTTTATCTCTTGGCATGTAATAAAGTCTCATCTTCCAATTCCAATCAGCAAAACTCCATTAAGAGTTGCTACTAGTAACAATTTGATATTTCTTTCCTTTATACAATGTCTTATGATTTTCTCTAAAAATGCAAAAGGAAAAAAAAATCTTCTCATATCTTATATCTGTAACACCCTTAAAACCCGTCACTGAAATAATCAGGAAAATTTCCATCAGGAGCGAATAGAAACAAAACAATATATTTATTATTAAGTCCTTCAAATACTATTCCACAAATTTATCATCTCTTCAAATATAACCCATTGAAAGCTGTTAGAAAAAAGGATCCTCCGTTTTGGGGGGAATCCTTTTCCCACTTCAAGGGTTTTTTTTTAAAAAATGTTGATTCTTTTTGGGGAAGATTTTTGCCTTGAGGTCCATTTAACCAGTGGAACAACCTGCCTCCAGAAGCCGTGAATGCTCCAACAACGGAAGTTTTTAAGAAGAGACTGGACAGCCATTTGTCGGAAATGGTATAGGGTTACCTGCCTGAGCAGGGGGTTGGACTTGATGACCTCCAAGGTCCCTTCCAACTAATAATAATAATAATAATAATCATAATAATAAAGTTGGAAGGGACCTTGGAGGTCATCTAGTCCAACCCCCTGCTCAGGCAGGAAACCCTATACCATTTCGGACAAATGGCTGTCCAGTCTCTTCTTAAAAACTTCCAGTGTTGGAGCATTCACCACTTCTGGAGGCAGGTTGTTCCACTGGTTAATTGTTCTGTCAGAAATTTCTCCTTAGTTCTAGATTGCTTCTCTCCTTGATTAGTTTCCATCCATTGCTTCTTGTCCTGCCTTCGGGCACTCTGGAGAATAGCTTGACTCCCTCTTCAGACATTGGAACACTGCTATCATGTCCCCCCTCGTCCTTCTCTTTGTTAAACTAGACATACCCAATTCCAGCAGCCGTTCCTTATATGTTTTAGCCTCCAGGCCCTTAATCATCTTTGTTGCTCTTCTCTGTACTCTTTCTAGAGTCTCAGCATCTTTTTTACATCGTGGTGACCAAAACTGGATGCAGTATTCCACGTGTGGCCTTACCAAGGCCTTGTAAAGTGGTATTAATACTTCACGTGATCTTGATTCTATTCCTCTGTTAATGCAGCCCAGCACTGTTGGCTTTTTTGGCAGCTGCAGCACAAGTTAAACTAGACATACCCAATTCCAGCAACTGTTCCTTATATGTTTTAGCCTCCAGTCCCCTAATCATCTTTGTTGCTCTTCTCTGTATGTGGAGAAGTACCAGGCAGTGTGAAAAGGAAACCATGCTGGCCCAGCTTTTGGGAGAATATAAAAATGGATAGTACTTGGAGCCATAATGTAGAACAAAATGCCAAATGAGGCATTTCTCCTTAGTTTCTCCTTAGTTCTAGGTTGCTTCTCTCTTTGGTTAGTTTCCACCCATTGCTTCTTGTCCTGCCTTCAGGCGCTTTGGAGAATAGCTTGACTCCCTCTTCTCTGGGGCAGCTCCTGAGATATTGAAATACTGCTCTCCTGTCCCCCCTCATCCTTCTCTTCATTAAACTAGACCAGGGGTAGGCAACCTTGGCTCTTTTATGACTCGTGGACTTCAACTCCCAGAATTCCTGAGCCAGCCACGCTGGCTCAGGAATTCTGGGAGTTGAAGTCCACGAGTCATAAAAGAGCCAAGGTTGCCTACCCCTGAACTAGACCTACCCAATTCCAGCAACCGTTCCTCATATGACTTAGCCACCAGTCCCCTAATCATTTGTGTTGCTCTTCTCTGTACTCTTTTTATTGTTATTATTTTTATTATTATATATTACTCCCATTCACAGCTACCATCTTTTCCTTGTTTGGTGCAATGGTGGCTCCTGAACAATAAAAGTACCCTTTTGTTCTGTGGCTATTTCTTCAAAAAGAGGCGCAAGCAAAAAAAAAAAAACGACTTGAAAGCAGAAAATGAGTTTTTCCTAAACTAGGAATATGTGTTCCCCAAACAGGCTTGAAATGTCTCTGGGGGTTTAGAGCAGGGGGGGGGTCTTCAAACTGGGCCCTTTGATGACGGGTGGACTTCAACTCCCAGAATTCCTCAGCCAGCTTTGCTGGCTGAGGAATTCTGGGAGTTGAAGTCCACCCGTCATCAAAGGGCCCAGTTTGAAGACCCCCCTGCCTTAGAGACAGTTTCTGATGGAAACGAATCAATGAGAGATGATCCCGCATAGAAAAAAAAGGAGAAATTTCCAGCCAGTTAGAACAATCAATCAATCAATCAGTGGAATGGCTTGCTTTCAAAAGTAGTGGGTGCCCCACCCCTCAGGGTTTTTAAGAAAAGATCGGACAGCCATTTATCCAGCCGAGGCGGGATAAGAGAGGATTGCCCGGGGCGTTTCTCTTCCCCCCTCCTTCCGCTGTGAGGCGGGGGGGGGGGGAAATGGCGCAGAGGCTGCCGGGAAGCCT